TATCTTTCTGGTTCTTCAAATTAATGTGATTATCAACTTTTTTCATATAACTCATGTGTAATATAAATGCCCCATGATCTCCCAATAAAGTTAATGCCACCAAGATTATAGAGATCAAGTTTTAACTGATTGATGAAAGACAGTAGCTGTTATACAAGTAAAATTTTTGAAATTCATCACCAGTGGGTTTTAAATCCCCTATCTAGCCAACAAGTCACTTGGGGGTGCAACAACTTACCAACATCACTAAGTCACTATACTGTCTATATTTAATTTTTTTTAAAATTTAAAACTGGTGCTAGTTATTATAAAGATAAATTTTATATTTTAGAAATAAAACTTATATGTTTAAGAAATTTATTTACTAAGAACAAATGTATTAGAGTAGTAGTCTTAAATTAAGATATATAAATATTTGAGTCAAGTATTAAAGTCTTTATTTACAGGCTAAAGTTAGATAAAAGTTTGTCTAATTAGCTAATAAATCCAATTTAACTTTATATTATTTATACAATTTAGATAATTTTTTAAAATTAAAACTAATAATAATGAAATAAAAAAAGCTATATAGAAGTTTCATAAAGCTGTAGGCTTTATAATCAAAAATAAGATCTAATTCTCATCTGTTTGAAAAAGTTGTATAGTAATACCTTTTCAAAACTAAATAAATCAACTTATTACTAAGCTAATTTTTCTAAACAGATGAAATTAGATCTTATTTTTTTAATAAAATCTTCTATATAGCTTTTCTTTACTTTATTATAGTTGGTTTTTGTTTTTTTTTTAAAAAACTAAGTCTTCTAAACTATATAAATAATGTAAAATTAAATAGAATTTATTAGCAATCAAATGAACTTCTGCTTATGACAGTTAATAAGAATATTAGGTTCTAAGTATTTATTAAATATTTGTTTTATTAATAAATTAAAGTATAATTAGTTTAATAGAAATAGTATTTATATTAAATAATAAAGTTAATCATTGAAATTATTATGTAAGTTTCTTAATATGTTCAAGCAGAGAAGAGACTAAATTCACAAACAAATGTATATTTATATATATTAGTATATACTCTTATAGTATATAAACATAAAGCTTTCAATAAGAAGTAGCCAAAATAATAAAGTATAAGAATAATAAAATTAATAAGAAACATGATTTTAACCAATTACTGAATTTGTTTTGACCTAATTAAATTATTAGTATTATATAATTAATGCCATTGAGTTCTATATAATAATTATTATTATCAGTTATACCTAGCACAGATAAAAAAATAGCAAATCAGATATAAAACAGAGATCTGATTTTAAACTGATTACTAACTAATTACTGCCTGAGTTATATTAATTGTTGTACTAACAATTTGTATAACAGTAACTATAAATCAGGCAGTTTGGGCTTTCTCTTTCTCCTTCTATAACTAATGGTAGCTAGTCTTAAATTAGTTTACAAATAGAAATTAAGAGATGTTTTGCTACACTTAGATGGTTATATAGGATATAATAGATAGTTTAAAATTAATATCATCTTGATACAAATCTGTAACTAATCTTATCATGTATACAGCAAATTCAAAATAAAAAAAAATAAATAAATCAGGCAGTAATCAGTTAGTAATTAGTTTAAAATTAGGTGCCTGAATATATTTGGTTTGCTATCTTTTTACCTATATAATATTATATTAAAAATTATATAATTATAAGAAAAGTGTTTTGATAATTCTACATATAGATACAAATGAGTGCTGTTAAGAGAAAAGAGCACAGCTTTTTAATCAATTATTGTTTTATTATTCACAAACTCTTATGATTATAAATTGTCATCTGTTTTATTTTTTACATATTATGATATAATTGTTTATTCAAATTAAAACTCAGTTGATAACTCTCTACCTATTATGATCATAAATTGTCAGATAATATCAATATTGGACAATTTGTTGAATACAATAATTTGGCTTAAGCAAACAAATAATTAGCAAACATTTCACTTTGTAGTATGTATTCATTTGCTCCAGTTTGCCAAATTACTATTATTTAATAAATTTTGACTAATATATATATAGTTAGACCTCTATATAAGTACTAAGTCTATCATGCTCTATTTTGGTAGCATAGAGATATAACTATAAACAAATATTAGATTAATATTATGTAATCTTTAGCCAATCAATGATTAATTAATAATTTGTTAATCATAATAATCCTATATTTTAAAGTTTTTTTTTGTACTAAGTTAACTACTTTTGAGTCTTTAAGTAAAGTTGTAGAGCTCTTTAAGATGAATTTAATAGTAGTTAAATCATCAAAATCAGCCTAGTAGTTGCTGAGATATCTTTGAAAACTATTTTGCTAACTATATAAATTTTTTGTAAACAATATAAAGAATTTTTTTATAGTTGACAAAAGGTTTTTCGAAGATATCTCAGCATCTACTAGGCTGATTTTGCTGATTTACCTACTATTAAATTTGTTTTAATGAGATCTACAACTTTATTTAGAGACTTAAAAATGATTAACTTAGTTAAAATGCTTTTCAATTAATAAATTAGTGATTATAAATAGGTTTTTTATTAATAAATTTGATTTAAAAATTAGATTTTTTCTAAAAAAGACTATTCTGAAGCATATATATATCTACTTTTTGAATCTAAACCACTACCAGATTACTTTGTTCTACCTAAAGAAGCTCTAAAGCATTATTACAATATCATTTTCAAATCTAATAGCTATATTACACCCAACCTACTAACAGATCTTTTTTTAACTTCTCCATCACTCTCACTAAATACCAGAAATAACCCTCTCCTAACTAATAAAACAGATCCTCCACTTACACCACCACTTACTTTATCTGAAAACTACTATACAAATCAACCCTTAAATATATCTAACACAACTCAAAACTCCCCAAACCAACCTTTCTTTACACTTGAACAAATTAAAATCTGCTCCCTTAATACAAATGGACTGTCTTATTCTAAACAAACCTTACTTCACAACTTCATTACTGAGAACCAAATAAATATTTTTGGTCTCTCTGAAACTCACCTAAGTATTAAAGATGCTAAATTACTCTCACTAACTCAAAACCTTTCAAATTATACTAACCTCTGGAGTGAAGCTGACAACAGAGGAGTAATAAGTTTTTCATATAGCATATATGGTAAAGCTGTTTTCAAATATCTTGTATATATAAGATCTATTTATCTAAATATAAAGAATCTAATGAGGAAATTAATTGAAGGTTGACTTTGTGTTTTAAAATTAATGAGTTGATTTGGTTATTAATAGAGACTATGCTATTTAAAGTTTTCTCTTAATAATTTTAATTAAATGACCAAGCTTTTTAAATAATAGGTAAAATGAGGTGCAGTATAGTGTAAATTAGTGATTATAACTAAGCTTACTACTAATTTTGTTAGGAATTGTTTGAGTTGCAGTATATATAAGATATTAATAATGAGAAGAGTTTAGTTTGATTGAAGTTGGGCTGATAGAAGGTCTGAGAATTCAGTTCATTTCTTTGTAGTTAAAGATTCTGTGAATAATACTAGTAAGCTTCCATAGAGGTTTGCTATATATATTTGGAAAAGTCCAAGAAGTAGACAAGATATGATGATTACTAAAAGTACTTAATTTGCTATTATCAAGATTATATAGAAGGAATTGAATATTGAATTTATCTGTTCAAATATAGTCAATTCGGCTACTACTAGTATTATTAAACTAAATATAGTGAATATTGTTAAAGTGAGCACCAATATTAAATATATTAGAAATATTTAAATAGGTAATAAGTTTGTATTTAGCAGAGGAACTATATGCAATATTATAGATATTAAAATTGTTTAGTATAATTAGATGAAGGTTTGTTGTAATGCTGTTTAAATCTATTTAATAACAGTATCTTGAGTGGTATTTTTTCTTGTTAAAAATGTAGATAAAAAATAAACAAATATAATACGAAATTTGATATTACTTTTGAAAAAGAGGTCAATAGCTACTATTCCTCCTGAATAAGTTAGACAGCTATATACATAAGGTTTAAGATAGTTGTTGATCATAATAGCTGTGCCTTTAGCTGAGTTATCAGAGTTGGCCTAGTAGTAGGTAAATAATTTATTATTGCAAAAAATAATTAGACTTAGTTGCAATCTTGGTTTTAGTGATACTAAAAATTGCAGTATTGTTGTGAAGACAGTAATTTTGTCAAGCTTCTTTTTTAGTAGATATATTAAATCCTCTAACATTATGAGTTGTGATAGTAAGATGTAGATGATGATTTGGATTGGAGTTAGATAAAGAGTAATTTAAAAAGTTAGATAAGTATGAGAGTTTACTATCAAAAGTAGTGGACAACTCAGATTGAGTGCTATAAAGATTAGTAGATGTTAGAAGTAAGATAGGTGAGCTTAAAACATTATCAGTAGAGTTATGTAATAGTAAAAGTAGTCTGCAGGTAGAGATTTAAGTTCTTTATCAGAAGTTATAAATTATAAAATTGGTGATATATTTGTGTATAATTTAAGAAGTATATTGTATATATCTAGTATTAATAGTAAAATGTGATTTGGCAGTAAGGCCGCATAAAATTATATAATTGGTTTTCATATCATGAGGTGGCAATCTGTGATACAGCCGCACAGCTTTTTTTTTTTCAATAAAAAATTTTTTTAAACAATAATATTAAAAAAAAACTTATTAAGCTTCAATTTAGAGACCTGATTTAAAATTTTATATTATTTGAGTGACGCCAATAGAAATTCAGGCTTCGATTATATAAATTCTATATTGTCGAAGTCTGATTTTTCTTTAATATCACCCATTTTATTGACCCTGCTTTTTAAGAATATGATAGCAACATAATTATTTATAGACATATCATTAGTAGCACAAACCGATTCAAAATATCAATTTCAATCTATATATTTAATTTAGGTATATATGTATATAAGCATACGTATTACGATCAAAGAATAAACCCAATAGGCTATTATGAGTGCTACCGGAAGAAAACCTAATACAGTCGACCCTCGTTAATATCAACCTAACTATAAAATGAATTTCTATATATTAAAGTTATATTAAAATTCCCTCATATATATCAACTTTAAATATGATCCCTCGTTGATATTAACGAGGGTCGACTGTATCAGTTTTAATCTGAAATCCGAATTTTTTTTGATGTATCAATTGCATATTAATAGCTATAAATATGATATCGAAATGGCCACAAGATTAACTCATATGCATCTAACAAAGAAATTTGAATAAAAAAATTTAAATATTGTAGCATGAATCTCCAATAGTATAATGCATTTTATGAATTCTCGCAATCTGTACATTACCTTGTGTATGCTATTCCCGCTATATATGATAATTATTGTGGCGGCTTATGCTGAGAATTTAGTTTATTTTATTTTGAAATTATAAAATTGTTGGGGGCCTCTTTTTTTCATAGTTAGGTTAGGTTAGAATTTAGGGTTAGATTATTAATAAGAGTATATGTGGGTTTTAGTAGATATTATAGATTTAAATAAGAACCCCCAATCTCAGCATAAGCCGCCAAATTATTAACCATCAATATCCGAATTTACGTTTTCTAAAGCAGATTATCTAATTGGAGTAACTCTAAAACAAGTGACTTTGCCTTGTTCAACTTAATTGACCAATTGTTGTTGTTATATGTAGGGTTGATTTAGGGTTAGGGATGGGCAAGTCCGGTCCAGTCCGTCCGGTCCAGTCCGTCCGGTCCTAATAAGACCGGTCCATTGGTGATCTTTGGTCCAGTCTCGGTCCCAAAACGGTCCCGATCTTTAACCGCAAAATCACTGTCTGAAAGCAAGTATCAGATGATGATTTTCCTAGCAGACAACCCATTTATGAAGACTGGTTCGGACTGGTCTCAGGACCGAAGACTGGTTAACCATGACCGGTTAAAAAGACTGGTTCTTATTGGGTCTTTTCAGGACTGATCCAACCCTATTTAGAGTGCTCTCAAGCATCTAAATAGATCAGGTCTCATTTTTTAATTATATAGTAAAAATAGCTCGGCCGAGCCGGATGAGCATTAGAGGAAGCAGAGTTATCTGATTGGTACCAATCAAAATTAGTTAAGCGGATTCCTGAGATCTATAATCAAGTCAGGGTATCAATTACAGCTTTAAGGAGAGGGGCCGCTCGAATATTAAGGAACGAAGGGGATAGTATTTCGTTTAGATCGGTCAAGTGAGCTTATCATCACAATGAAAAAAAAGATAGATCAACCAACTTACTTTATTATAGAGTTGTACCGAATGGCTAAAATTTAATATCCACGTTTTGCACTATAAATCTTCAGCAAAATTGCTACAAAGATTACTTCAATTAACCATAGTGCTTGTGCACGATCTCGATTACTAGCAAATCTCATTGATAGATATGCTTGAGAGCACCATTAGTCAGGTCAGTTCATTGATATCCGTCTTGTAGATAGCTATCCTAATAAGGCCAATCTTTGTAATTATGATTTCTCAATTCAAATATAGGATCATTTAAGTGACGGAAAGGAAAAACCTGTAAATTGATTCACTAATTTTCATCTTACTGATTCGGCCCTGAATAATCTAATGCTATGTGATTAGTTCTAAAACAAATTGATTGTTAATTAATTTACAGGGTTTCTCTTTCTGTCACTCATGCAAGCGGAAAAAGGACTGATTAAACTATTCTTAATAAAGTTGGGATCAACCAAATAGAATAAACCATCTCTAACTAAATATTAAAAAAACAAAACAAAAGCAAAGATACAATGTGAGCTAAGGCTAAATTGCTATATCGATACGAATAAATAACGTTACACTTACAAGTTAAATTTATTATATAAAAAATTTAATCTGTAGTGACCCCTAAAAACAACAAATTAGCGCTGATATATGCGATTTACAAAGCTACAAATAGGTATATCCATACTTATGAAGACATTCAAACATCCATTTTGAAAAATAATAGTCGTAGAGCACGAACGAATGATATTAAACCCAATCGGTAAGGCTAAAGAGCCCTATATAGAATTTAAATAAGGAACACAAGCAAACAAGAAGTTCTTTTAAAAAAAGAAATTACGAACTAACCAGCAGAATAAGTAATCCTATAATTAATGGCATTGAAAATGTTTGAACGTCTTAGTTAAAGTACAAAACTTTTGAACAAAAAACTTAAGATTGTAGATCTTTGCATTAAATCAAACCATATGCCACATTAAATTTATCAGCAATAATCAGATAACCGTATAACTTAATGTCCTACAATGAGTGCATAAACCAATGTCATTAGAGAAGGTAAATGTTTTATTAAATCACAATCTCTATTTAGATACTAGATATAAACTTCTAAGTGGTCAAGATCGTAAGGTTCTAGTGTTTGTAGTCGATAACTATTTATCGACTCGACTATGTCGATAATTAAAAATCGGCTTAGCCGACTAAGTTAGAGTCGCTCCCCAGGGCAGTTAACCTTCTGAAATTATCAGACATTTCCTCAAATTTTGTCTCAACCTTGTTCGTATTTACGTTCGTTGATTTTTTTTTCGAATCTTATTATAATTCCACATATACCCCACCCCTTTTCACTGAGACAGCCACCAATTCAAATCAGTTTGCCTAAATTTGATTGGTTTTGATTGATTACTGTAATTGTTTAATATAATTTGAAATAAAATCGATTAAGTCGATTGTTTGAAAAATCGGCTAACTAAGCCGGCTAAGCCGATTTTTATTGACTAATCAAAATCGACTACAAACACTAGTAGGTTCAGTAACTTTGCAAAATCATCATTTTCAACCGATCTAATTCGGATATTTTCGTAAAACAATTAAAGAGCATGACCAAAACGTATCCTAATCGAATATATTATTCAAACAAAAAATCCAACTCCGTTATGTTAAATC